TCCTCTCGAAGCCACAGCTGCAGCCAAAGCAGGGAGCCAAAAGATTGAGAGTCTGATTCCTGTTCATGTTGAAGCTCGCACAACCATATTACCAGAAGTGACAATGCTGGTCCTTGCGCACAAAGAGAAGGGTTGAGGACAAGATGTGGCAAGGTTGGTTATACAGGGACCTTGTTTCCTCTGTTTCCCGATCTCACTGCCACGATTGAGCATCTTCTCAAAGTGTGTCCGATAAGGTATCTCCGTAAAGGTCGGATTCGATCTGCAGGCCTGCCCAATCGATCGATTCGAGCTGTATCTGTATAGCGTCGTCAGTCACATCGTACGAGGTCATTGCTGGGTGAGTCGACTCTGGTTGCGATGCTTTCTCGTTTTGCGCAAGTGGTGTGGGAAATGTTGTATTGGTTGCAAACTGCTGGTCTGAAAACCCAACTGCTTCCTCGACGAACGTCTTGTGTAGGGTCGGAAGACTTGAATCAACGTTTATGTCAGAACACCAACCCGGTTGTGTCCGAGGCGGATCTCTCACTGGTGCGTCACGGCTTTTCTCAGCCATTCTCCTCCTTTTAGTCGTCACATTTTCAGAATCATCACCAATTCTGTTGTATCCTTCTTCACAGTCTGACAGTGTCCTGTTTTCTTGCTCCATGAGCGACACGATCCATGCCCGGTTCTTGTGGACGAAAATCTTATGTACGAACCAGTCGAAACAAATCTTCTTCAGCTCTGTCCAAGAAGGATCAAGGTGGTCTTTTACCAAGCTGCACGACGTGTAAGAGTCCTTAGCCTTTTGGAATGTTTCGGTACCACACGACCGTAACCACCTAAATCGCTCTTTCTGTGCGAAGAAGAGTGTAGCGCCACGCAATTCATCCAAGCGCTTACCGAGTTCGAGTGTGGATCTGAGACTTGTCTCAGTTACGTTCAGTGACAGAGCGTAGGCCCGGCGTCCACCGAATGGTCCTTGTCTGGCGGCACGTCGATCAGTCGCACACCGCCGCTTTTGAAATTGTTGAAAGTCTTGATACACCCATAAAGACGCGAGGAAGACTTTGATATAACGGATAGCACGATCCTCCTTGTTTTCCTTGGGCTGTGGTAGGGACTGAGCTTGTATTATTACAGGATGCTCCTCCAAATGTGCTTGAAACCTTATAAGCAGATTCTGGCGTGACCACTTGAATGGAAGGATTGGTGATGGGACTTGGGTTTTACTGTTTCCGGTTTCTTTTCGATTGGATCGAGGAGGGTTTGTTCCCGCTGATGCCTGTTCTGTACCCGAACTGATGTCCAGCGAGGTATCAGCCGGGGCGCTTCCAACTTGCGGGTTGTCTGTCGTCTGAGCAGTGTCGAGTCGTACATTTCTCTCCGCTTCGATAGCTGGAAGCAGGTTCACAAGAGAGGTCCGTTGACCACAGCGAGTAGGACTAAGTGTCGTAGCCCGTCGACGTGGTGGAGCAGAGTACTCTGCTACGAGTGTCGTCGTTTTGATCGCTGCTTTGGAAATATTGACCTGATCTAAGAACAGAGACAGATCTTTCACACGCTCGCGTACGGAAATTTGCAAATGTAGATGGGAACTGATGTCCGCAGTTTTTAGATTGACAAGTTGATTGACAAGTTGATTGACAAGTTTCTGGATTTCCAGATCCATTGCTGCTACGATATTGACAGTGAGAGTTGCTAGAGTGACACGACGACGGGTGAGGATGACCGTTACCGCCCTCAAGCATTTCGTCTCCTTCTTTGGGCTTGTGAAGGCTGAGCCAATGAGAAGTCAGTTTAGCTGCTTCAAAAGCAGCTAAACTGACTTCTCATTGGCCAATTTAATACAGACTATCAGTGGGCGCCTCGAGCTCAACAACTTGATGTCATCTGTCGAACATTGTGCATTCAATCGAGAATGAAGGAAATGAGGCCTCGAGGAGATTGAAAACTCCACGCGGCTGAGACACGATTGATTTTGAAGAGAGACTCCTGAAGTTTTCAGAAGTGCAGAGCATCGCAAACGTATATCTTCTATTGGTCGCTGTCCTGTTTATGCCTTGGTTTGCCTGTTGCCTTCTGGTTCCTTTAATTTTCCCCTTTCAAGCATCCCTGGGCTGCTTTCATCTTTGAGCAGACTATGTTCACACGCGCAGCAGACCCGCCCCTGATCTTCCAAGCTTTCTGTCTGCTCTACTCAACTATTGTGGCAGTGTTCTTCGTTGTTCAAAACACACACCAATTCTGGTGCCGAAAATATAACTGGAGGGACGATTGGCAGAAGCCATGCTATTCGGCTGCTAAAATTACCGAGTGGAGCCTCACCATAGCCTCTGTTTCCCTCTATTGTCAGAGAGGAAGTGATCGAGTGTGGGCGACCACGGCCTGCATGGCCATTCAGATGAATTGCATCACCGAGGTAAAGATTTTTTGCGAACGAACATGGTCGGTGCTTACACTCCGATGCAGGTACTCTCCTGGTGGCCATCTCTTCAACTCACTCGAGCCCTTCGAGTGAAGTTCGAGGTGCCGATATGGAAGA